GAGAGAGAGAGAGAGAGAGAGAGAGAGAGAGAGAGATGCTCTCTAATCTATAAACCTTAAAATTTCTAAATAATTGATTGAACTGAGATGGATGTATTTTACAGCATGCACTAAAAGAGGCCCTTGTTTAACTAATCATGAGTTTACTTTTTTCAGTTTTTCAGTGCATCAACAGGGTTTTTGCACTTTTTGTTCACAATGGAAAATCCTATTTTTATCATCTCCATCTATTAATCACAGACATTCAACATTCCCTCCAGCTGATTTGGCTTCATTTACTTTTAAAAGCTTGAAAATCTGATATTTCTTTAAATGTCATTTTAAGAGGGTACAAGTTGTGCTGAAACTTTTGTTTAAATCAATTACATGGTTAATAACTAAAATTATTCTCTAGATGCCATCACAAACATTGAACTGAAGGAACCTTTGGACTATAAGGTGTCTCAGGACACCAGTTTGGCTTTTCATGTCGATGGAAGGTGAGACACATTTGGCTGATGTGGTTTTTGCAGTTAGTGATCATATTCTAAAATATATTTTAGACATGTAATACATATACTTGACTTGGCCAACAGTGGTTTCTCTGTTTTGTGACTTTAGTCCTCCGATGTGGACCTGTTGGCGTTTCCTCGCGAACTGTGAGCCTGACATGACGGTAGGCTGCACGCTGGCCATGCAGTACGAAAACACCCTGCAGCTGAACCACACCTTCACCTCTGCTGGAGTCCACTGTCTGGACATCAGTGTCCGCAACGACATCAGCAAAATGCAGACCTCCTTCAGCCTTTACGTCAGGAGGGACAGTGAGTGAATTCTGCTCCAAACACACTCAAACCTGTGAAGTCTGTGAGAAGAAACAGGGAAAAATGTCTGGTGACAGTTTTTTACACTCACTGACAAACTAAGTTGAGCACCCAGCAGGAACACAGTTCATAGTTTGGCTCACATGCAGGTCAGAGATGTAAACAATTTGATTTGCAAGTAGCTGACATGCAGAACAAACACCAGAGGGCAAAAATGGTGGCATCCCAAGTTGAGCAGCAATGTTATCAGGTAGGTACTGGAGTGTCCAACAGTCAGTCAAAACAGTGAGTGAAGGTCACACAAAAACACAGGAGGACTCACAGGTGAATCAGACAGCATTACCAGAAAGATTTTGACAGAACTCATGTGATGAGTTTGTGTAAGACTGGGTGTTGTGTTGCCCCCAGTTTACACTGCATGTGGTTCTGCTCCGCAGCACCACGCAGCATGCACAGGACATGTGAGCTAGAGGAATAAATCCAGTGATACGTGTGGAAGCCAGACCAAATTAATTCATTCTGTGGAAGATGGACTGGAAACAACAGTTGAAACTTCATCGCTGTTGTCTTATTTTAAATCCACATTTCAAAATAAAATCCAGCTGTTTTGTTTTGGTCTGGCTTCAACATATGATGCATGTTGCCATCTGTTTCCCAAACAGAATGATCAATTTTGACAGCACGCATACATTTACCCATACTGTAAATTAATAAACATAGCTAGGATATCAACAAAAAAGTCTGCCTTTGATGAATTATTTTGAAAACACGGATGTTATGCTCATCCCTTTTCCTGTTGGTGCGATGCGATCTATGTAGGTTAACTTTGTACGTCCTCCAAAAAAGTAGGATCAAATGTAATTTTGGCAGATTGCTGAGTACACACTGCCTCCCTGTAGATGCAGTGTAAATGCTCTCATTGGGCCTCATGCAAGAACCGTTCGTACGCACAGATTTGTTC